GCGGCGGAATGGACACCACTCACGCAGACCTCTGTCCAAGTGGATTCATATCCATGTTAAATGGTGACCAGGCCAGCATAGTTCAGTAACCTATTAGTCGATAGCCTTATCCTTAATCTATTGATAACATCGGTTTGATTAAACATATGACTTTTAAATAGAAATAGTTTTATTTCCAGTTATTCTATGTCTGCATGGGGGGAGGGGGTGTTAAAGAAAAGCGATCGTAATATTTTTAACCACAATTCAGTATGAATAATGTGGTTAATAGGATCGTTCGGCCCCCTCCGCTCCCCCTCACACTATGGGATTTAACAGGGGATTACAGCTTAAGTCTATGGCATAGGAATAACATGGGCAATGCTAAGTCTATGGGTAATTCTAAGTCTATGACATAGGGTTAATATGGGTAATGCTAAGTCTATGACAATGATAAGTCTATGGGTTATTCTAAGTCTATTACATAGGGTTAACATGGGTAATGCTAAGTCTATGACAATGATAAATCTATGTGTAATGCTAAGTCTATGGTATATGGGTAACATGTGAAATGGTATATAATTGGGAAAATGGGATTATAAATGAATCTGCCATAAAACTAGAACTAATTGTTGTCAAAAACATTTAAGATTCTCAAAATAATAATAGTGAGAGTATTCTAACAATAGTATTGAAAAATTTAAAATCTATAATATATTTCCCGAATTGTGGTTAACGTATAACATCGTTGTGTGAACCTTGTTTTCAATTTCTACATGCGAACTAAGGGGAGGAAAAGGTCCATATTTTTAACCACTTATTCTGATGTAAATAATGTGGTTTATAGGATCGTTCTCAAGTCAACAACAGTTAAAAGACACACTGAATGTTAATAGCGCTGATGACAAATACGGCCAAATTATTTGCGATGCTCTCAATAGTTATATGTCGTCACTGAGGGTATACTTAGTCCGTATACCAAATGCAAACATCAATGCCAATCAATCAATGAATGTTGTCTTGAGACTAATTCGTGATCTCAAACACACAGGCCGTAACATTACTGCAGATAATTGGTTTGCTAGTTTTTTTTACCAAACCTAGCATTTATTTCAATTTGCTAATTAAATTTACAAGGTGGCGTAAATTTACTCGGTTTGATTTTAGCTAAAATATTGTATTTAAATGTACTAATATATTTATAGTGGCGGAAATTTTCAGGTGTGTTTTCTAAAGAAATACATAGGTACAATATTGTATTTAAAGTTACTAATGAAATATACAAGGTGGCGTAAATTTCCAGGTGTGTTTTTTTAAAAAATACATAGGTACAATATTTTATTTATATGTATTCATAATACATTTATAGTGGCGGAAATTTCCAGGTGTGTTTTCTAAAGAAATACATAGGTTCAATATATTATTTAAATGTACTTATAATACATTTATAATGTTTGAAATTTTCAGGCGTGTGTTCCAAAAAATTACATAAAGGTCCGTTGAAAAGGGTTTGCATATTATAATTCGTGCCATCTAGCGCCTTATAGTAATCCAGCGTCAAATAACTCCCATATATGACTGCATGTGATCATGCATTGTGAGGTACAACTGTGAGTCGACAAGTTTGTAGCGCAATCCTACTCTCTGATTGGTCCATGACTTCACAATGCATGACGTAATGCCTTTATATGTGCGAGAGATGGATCTGATGTATGCAGAGATCTCGGTTTGATTTTAGCTAAAATATTGTATTTAAATGTACTATTAATATATTTATAGTGGCGGAAATTTCCAGGTGTGTTTTCTAAAGAATTACATAGGTACAATATTGTATTTAAAGTTACTAATGAAATATACAAGGTGGCGGAAATTTCCAGGTGTGTTTTCCATAGAAATACATAGGTACAATATTTTATTTAAATGTACTCATAATATATTTATAGTGGCTGAAATTTCCAGGTGTGTTTTCTAAAGAAATACACAAATACAATATTTTATTTAAATGTACTCATAATACATTTATAGTGGCGAAAATTTCGAGGGGTGTTTTCTAAAGAATTACATAGGTTCAATATTGTATTTAAAGTTACTAATGAAATATACAAGGTGGCGTAAATTTCCAGGTGTGTTTTCCAAAGAAATACATAGGTACAATATTTTATTTAAATGTACTCATAATATATTTATAGTGGCTGAAATTTCCAGGTGTGTTTTCTACTAATGAAATATACAAGGTGGCGTAAATTTCCAGGTGTGTTTTCCAAAGAAATACATAGGTACAATATTTTATTTAAATGTACTCATAATATATTTATAGTGGCTGAAATTTCCAGGTGTGTTTTCCAAAGAAATACATAGGTACAATATTTTATTTAAATGTACTCATAATACATTTATAGTGGCGAAAATTTCGAGGGGTGTTTTCTAAAGAATTACATAGGTTCAATATTGTATTTAAAGTTACTAATGAAATATACAAGGTGGCGTAAATTTCCAGGTGTGTTTTCCAAAGAAATACATAGGTACAATATTTTATTTAAATGTACTCATAATATATTTATAGTGGCTGAAATTTCCAGGTGTGTTTTCTAAAAAAAATACATAAATACAATATTTTATTTAAATGTACTCATAATACATTTATAGTAACGGAAAGTTCCAGGTGTGTTTTCTAAAGAAATACTTAGATAAAATATAGTATTTAAAGTTACTAATGAAATATACAAGGTGGCGTAAATTTCCAGGTGTGTTTTTTTAAAAAATACATAGGTACAATATTTTATTTATATGTATTCATAATACATTTATAGTGGCGGAAATTAAAGTTACTGTATTTAAAGTTACTAATGAAATATACAAGGTGGCGGAAATTCCCAGAGGTGATTTGCACTAAAAAAAAGTGAGTGCGAGAGAGAGAGAGAGAGAGANGTGCGAGAGAGAGAGAGAGAGAGAACCAAGGATCACACAGCGATGCTATACGTTAATGACAATTCGGGAAATGCATTACAGACTTTAAATTTTTCAGTACTGTTGTTAGAATACTTTGTAATAGTGAAAGGTTGGATCAGATCTTCAGTAATAATAAACGCATTTTTAGTATAAAATACGGTTTTTATTATAAAACCGATAACAAAAGGTTTACAAAAGTGTGAACAATAAGTGATACGACGATTACGACGACTGAATACGAAATGAAGGCTCGGAAACGAATAGTAATGGCGATGAAAGCCAATGCCTTCGAGCACTTGAGCACAGAGTTGAGAGCCATCTATCTCTCAATAGAGTTATTAATTTTAAAATGTATTTATACAATAAGTTAATGTTTTTAATGCTAACACAAACAAGGATCACACAGCGATGCAATATGTTAACCACAATTCGGGTAGTACTCAAAGAATAGATAGTCTTTACATATAGTGTTTAATAATTGTATTTGAAAAATTTAATTTTTAATGTATTGTTAAATGAATATCATTTTTTAAAAAAATTTTAATAGTTATTTTATTTTATTGTTTGTATTTTGAAAATGTTCTAATATGATTACTGATATATATTCGGTCATTTATTAGAAATCTATTATAAAGAACTAGTCCCATAATCTATGGGCCATAGATTTATCAGTCCATAATATTGATATGGATCGCATGACTCACACATCCTAAACTTTTTATTGGTTTAAATCTGTAATTTTCCATTGATTTCAAACTGTATGCTTTGTGTGTCACCCAATCATATCAGTTATTTTCCCAACAGTTTTTCTGTAACCTTTAGCCTAATTCAATGTATACTCACCTGTACTCCATGTATACTAACCTGTATTTCAGAGCAGCGCTTTCCTGTGCTTTCTTCAGTCTCTGTCTGAGCCCTCGACTGTCCAGTCGCTCCACTGACTCCACTCTCCTTGAGTGTCAGCCATTACTCGTTTGTTCTAAACATGTGCTAACCGGCCATATCTTGCGCCAGCATTTCATCCAATTTTAACCATATTTTATACAATTAATTAACTGTGTTTTACGACAAGTTTTACTCATATATGTTGTTATAATTGTTATACAATTAAATTGTGCTCAAAATAAACTTACGTTCGTTAAGTAACTTATTTGCGTCTAAACCATTGTTTAACGCGCCCGCAGTCGAACTCACTCTCTTTCTAACAACAGTACTGAAAAATTTAAAGTCTGTAATGCATTTCCCGAATTGTCATTAACGTATAGCATCGCTGTGTGATCCTTGGTTCTCTCTCTCTCTCTCACTATGTCGAGATCACATTTTGGCCACTCTCACAGCTTGGGAAACTAGCCATCACTCTCCCAGTCTGGGAAAGTAGATCACATCAACTCATCCACTCGTCGCCCATCGCTTACGTGACCACTCTCTGGACAATAACCCACGTTTGTCAGAGAGCCACCATCTCATTAAACCCTTTTCACGACAGCACTGCCTCTCTATCGGCGCCATTGGTCAGACAGCGCACCGTAAAGAGTCGGCACAACTTTTATTCTTCTTGTGGTTACTTTTGTCCGAAAGTGATCGCAAGTATTGGCGCGCAACTCAATTACAGCGCAGCCCATAAGAATATCAGAATCAACTTCATAGAGTTAACATTACTCCCATAGACTTAGCATTACTCATGTTACCCCTATGCCATAAACTTAACATTACCCATAGGATTAGCATTGCCATAGACTTAGCATTACCCATGTTAAAGTATAGCCATAGACTTAAGCTGTAATCCCATATTAAATCCCATAGAGCGGGGCTGGAGGAGGGGGCTTAACAATCCTATAAATCACATTATTCATACTGAATTGTGGTTAAAAATGTTAATTTAATAAATGATTTTTGATAATTGTTAATGAAAATAAGTTTGAAAACCTAAATTGTGTAGCACTTGATAATAACTCAACAAAAACCCCAATTTCATTATATAATTAACTATTCCTAAGATAATAGTTATATTTTGATTTAATTAATTAACTTTTTTGCGGCAATTATAAACACAAAAGAATTGTAACAATTAATTGTCTTTTTTTTTTGAGAAAAATCTTTTAATAAAATATTGAATTAAATGAAAAAAATTTATGCAAAAAAACATGTTTTATATCAAGTTTTAAATCAAATTCTTAGCCATCAATACAATTGAAACTAAACGTGCGGTCATTCTTATCGGATGGCAATGAGTCCCGATTCCATCAGTTTGTAGATCTTTGACTGGATCTCCGGATTCTTCAGATGTCTGCATAGGGTTTGGGACACAAAACAAGTGATCAATAACTCAATCGCAAAGCAATCAAAACAACAACTAATGAGCAGTGGATGTGTACTAACTCTTGCACGGCTTTGGGATCGGTTTGCATTTGTTCCAGAATTAGTCTCATCGCCGGATCCGATAGGATCTGTTGCACCTCCGGGTCAGCCATCGCTCGTTTGCGCACTTCGTCCGGATTAGAGCTCGAACTCAGGATACACTTCTTGAAGCCTTCAATCGCCTCCTATTGTCGGCCATTAAATGAGAGTAAAAAACAATGCGTTAAGACTTTTTTGTTACCACAAGAGGTAATGCAAGTGTTTGTCAAATACCTGATTGTTTTTGTCGATCTCCAGCGCCTTCTCGTACGCGGTCTGCGCTTTGGAGAACTCCTTCATCGCAATCAATGCCAACCCTTTCCTCGTATAGCCCTTCACGAAGTGTGGATCCAATTGAATGCATTGCTCGCAGTCTTTGAGAGCCAATTGAAATTCGGCTAACTTTTGATAACAGGCCGCGCGATTCGAGTACAGCTTCGCGTCTTCGGGATTCCGTTTAATCGCTTCCGTATAGTGTTTGATAGCATTCGGGTAATCGCCTGAAGAGAGAGAGAGACATAATGAGTAACATTGGGTCAATGGGTCCAATCGGTGACAAACCTTTGGCGAACAAATCATTGCCTAAAGTCTTCTCTTCGAGCGCTTTCTCCGGATTGATATACAGAAGGCGTTCCCTATCTTTGAGGGCCTTTTCGATGTCCGACAGTTTGGCCATCGTTTCGCGCGTCCTGTGCTCTGTCAGCGACTTCTGGTAATACGTCTTCGCGTTCTCCAAGTCGTCCTTCTTGTGGTAGGCGTTGGCCATACGGGCGTACGCTCTGAGACACACATTAGACAAAACACTACATGAGATAATGGATCAAATACTTGGCGATAATCGTGTAGTCCTGGCGGTTCTCGCGGCCGACTTCGATGGCTTTGTCGCACTGTTTGATGCATTCCTCGTAGTCTTTGAGCTCGAAATGGACGGCAGCGCTGTTCAAGTGGTAAGTCATGTCCAACGGGTCGAGACCTATGGCGCGGCCGTACTCTTCCAGCGCTTCCTTGAACTCCTTCTTCTTGTAGTAATCGTTGCCACGAGTTTTGGCCGCCAATGCCTGACATCGAGACAATTACAAGACATACAAGTCATCAGACAATGGATTCAATGATGCAATCGCTAAGCCATGCCTTACCTGTTGTTTATGATCATCGCTGACACTCATTGTGGTAAAGGATGTGATGCTTAACACAAATACTCGCAAATATATTGAGACAAAAGTTAATTACAATTAAATAACAATTAATTACTAACAAAAGTGATGTTTATTTGTATTGTGTTTTGCAATGCGTTTGAATGGCATTAAAAGTCAATGCATTTTAAAAACATTCAGAAATTTCCAGACTATTGACTGAAATGATGCCTTCACTGCGCAAACTCTCGCCTACACTGGCTCTACGCCTATTGCACAACACGTAGACTCGCTGTACACACACTCTATGCGTGTGAGTGACTGTGCATTACAGTGGGGTTAGAAAAGTTGTTTCCTATAATCATAACTACCGGCTATTAGGGCGCATGTGTTGCCAAAAGTTGTCAATTTTGATGACAATTAAAACTTTTATTTAGTTATTTATGATTTAATTTTAATCATGTATTTAATTATAAATAGAATTAAGATATAATAAGTATAGTATAAACAAAATTTTGTCAATTAGTTGAGTACTATATGTGAACTTTTATTACTTTAATAGCAATTAAAAGTTTTAAAAGTTTGTGATAACTTTTAAAAACTTTTTTAAATATTTTTATATATTTTAATTGTGTATTTAGGTATAGATTGAAACGAGAAATAATAAATACATAATAAACATAATTCTGTCCAAAAGTAGAGTAAACAAAATCCATTGTTTTCCAGAATCCATGTGTTTATCACTAAATTCAATACAAATCTCACTTTCTATGCCTTCTTTGGCACTCAATTCATATAAATAGTCACCGATTCCTATGAAAGCCATCAATGGATTGCTTATAACAGTCGATATAAGATATAATAAGTATAGTATAAACAAAATTTTGTCAATTAGTTGAGTACTATATGTGAACTTTTATTACTTTAATAGCAATTAAAAGTTTTAAAAGTTTGTGATAACTTTTAAAAACTTTTTTAAAATATCTTTGTATATCTTAATTATGTATTTAAGTATAGATTGAAACGAGAAATAATAAATACATAATAAACATAATTCTGTCCAAAAGTAGAGTAAACAAAATCCATTGTTTTCCAGAATCCATGTGTTTATCACTAAATTCAATACAAATACCACTTTCTATGCCTTCTTTGGCACTCAATTCATATAAATAGTCACCGATTCCTATGAAAGCCATCAATGGATTGCTTA